TGTGTGTGTGTGTGTGTGTGTGTGTGTGTGTGTGTGTGTGTGTGTGTGTGTGTGTGTGTGTGGATGAGAAGGTAACAAAATTCAAGATCGAATATCGATGAATTTCAATGGGTAGCCCTAATTTCGTTGCACATTCGATCGATTCTATTTTTTCATCGAACATCTAAAGACAATAGATGCATATACACCTTTACGAAATGGGCACGGGATTAGGGAGTCACCATTATGTAACCACGTTTTATAGGGCATCTTTTATCGTCGATCTTTTTGAAGCGACAAGCTGTGAACGAACATTCCACACACAGATGCATGAAAAATGCGAACGTAACAGATCCGTCGAGTGCACGATTCAACGACATGTTCTATAAAAAGAAGCTTAGAAATCCACTATCAATGTTCCCGCGAAAAACAATGTATCTGATGTTGCATTTCCACAAATCCACAATGAGTTTTTTTTCCTGATGATTTCACGTTCGTGTTTCGATCTGGTTATACGTAATACGACGAATTATGCAATTGTTCTCTCGTGAATCATATCATGTTTCAGCAAGTAAACTTCAGTAAGTAAAAATATATCAAATATACCATATATGGAAGAATGAATCATTAATAAATGATCAATAATTTGATATTTGATATTTTCAATAATAAAAACATTTCAAATAGGAATTAGTTTAAAATTAGAAATTACAATAGTTAAAATTGTCAAAAATTTTCTTTATAAAATAAATGATAGCTTAGCTTTTTTTCATTTATAAATATAAATTATATGTTTTGAATAAAGTCATCGAATTTCATTTATACAGACACTTTATTCATAAAGAATAAATAAATTTTCTTCAAATAAAATTGTTTTTTCTTATTCATGAATTTATGTTTCAGTTGGTTGGACTCGAGCCAAATATATATTTGTATTGGTGTATCATTATTTACATAGTTTATATCGCCCAAAAGTTTATATCGACTTCGTTGAAGTATCGAATTACATAACATCACTTCAGGCTTGACCGGTATCTTGTTGCTTGACTCATCAAAGATTCAGTAGAAAGTAAATCTACAATCTCGTTAAACACTTATCATTACTCTTCGAATTGCAATCGATATTTTAATCTGAACATTCGATTTCTTTTACTCTAATGTCTACATAATTCAAAGGTAAACGAACTGATGATAAAAAGCAATAAGAATTCCGAATTAACCTCATTTCTAGAAAATAGGTTAAGCCTAGATCCATTAAAGAGTGAAATTAATGTTACAAATTTATTTCTATTTTAATATTAAATAATTCTGAAGAATTTATCCATTATTTAAATAAAATTTATTCAACTCTACAGAAATACGAAAAAAGTAAATACGTAAAACATTTTTTAATAATTGAGGTTAAAACAAATACAAAAGTTGATGTATAAAAATTGGCTGAAGTTTATAAACAATTCAAATTTCCATTAGATCAAGATGGAATAAAATAATTCTTCCTTACAAAACTGTCTTATTCTATATTATCTATTTAATGTAAATTTCAATTACATTTCAATAATATTTATAATATAATTCAATTTCGATATTGAATAATATATAGTTTCCAACATTTGTATTATTAGAAATCAACACACATAGAAATAAATATGCAAACGAGGTATGATATAGTTAACAAGTTTTCAAACACTAGTTAATTGCTCATCTTCAAGAGTGAACACGTGCGTAAAGTGAATGCAGAAAGAGGCAAACGGTTAGAAGCTGATACGTTCTCTGCCTATGTGTACCAACCACGTGTTTAGTATACATACTACCGCTGGTTAAACGAGTTAGGATGAGCTTTAGTTGGGGAAAGGTCGCAAATCCGGAAGGAAGTGGAAAATATTAACGTTCCTTCGCTGCAGCAGGAAGAGATTCCTCCCTCCCTTCCAATCATAATCGATGAAAATGCTAAGGGAACAGTTTTCCATTTTTTTAAACTTTGAAATCTTATCTTGAAGTCTTAGTAAATTTAATTATTTCTTAAATAAAATTATTAAGATATTTTAGATTCTAACGTTGCAACAGTAATATTTATTTTAAAAATATATCAAATTCTATTTTTTAAATATTTTTTTTCATAAAAATTGATTGTATATTATTTGTTTTATTCAAAGAAAATTTCAATGAATTAAATTTTATATATATAAATTTATTATATATATAAAATTTATATTTTATATTTATTAAAATTTATATTTTATTATTATATATATAAATTTATTATATATAATAACAATTTCTAATTATTGCATCAATCGATTATTATTTATAAATATATATGATATATTTATATTTAATAAATAGAATTTTTGCTATCTTCATTTGGGAAACTCTAAATAAAGTAGTATACTATATTGAATGTTCAACGGTTGAATGTCTATACTCACTGTTGGTAAAAAAGGATTAAAGAATTTCTCGAAGCAATCGGGTTGCTCGCGACACAAACGAGCATTTTTTTCCCTCGTTCCTTTTCCGCTTTCGTTTACATTCAACTGTCGGTAGCTAGAGGCGAAATTCAAAGGTCACCGACTTGACGAAAGGCGGTTGAAAATCAACTAGGAGAAAATTCTAGGTGCGCAATCAAGGGGGTACTCGTGATTTTCCAGCGGAAACAATGCAGTCAGAGAGAAGAGAACTACTCGTCGAGTCGAGTAATAAAAGATAATGTATTCCTACGCGACCGACACTGAAGGAAGTCGATGCGGCATACCACAAACAAACTCATTTACATCACACAGACTATGGTATAACGGATTGCCAATCTAACTGGACAAATGTCATTTTCGTGATTGTCACAACATTCTTTAATTTTTATTACGAATTATTACGAAAGATTTACAACTATGGAAAACATTTACATAAATTTATTTTATGAGTGAGTATAATACAATC